ATTATTTTGTATAGATATAAGAAAAGTATGTTAGCCTTAAGTAACCACAGGTGTGGTTCATTGGAAATGTAAAATAATAACTTAGAATAAGTTAGTTTAAATTCTTATAATTGTCATTTTTTTTTCTTTCACGAGCTTCCGGGGAAGCTCTCTCTAAGGGGGGAGGAGTTATATACGAGTATAAACATTGGGTTAAATAAATAATGTGATGACAATGCTAGGATGCAGGTGTTGCTCCTAGAATTGTCATCAGCACTCTCTCCCACTCTAGAAATTTCATAAGGATTTTCATTTTAATAAACGTTAGTCTTAAGCCAGATTTCCCGAAAGCATATCGACGAGATTTGATTTAGATTCATAAAGTTCTGAATGTATATCAGTAACTTATTTGTAATTTCTTTGAATAAAAGTTTTTAAAAACACGTTCGTCCAAAGAAATTATTTAACTTATATATATATACTAATTATATACAGGTAATTACATAATTAGATTTGAATTAAGCTAATAATAAGGAATATACCAAAATGGAATAGTAATAATTACAACGGCTTTAAATTGGCATACCTTTTTTTCATTACTTTTACTTTTTTTACATTGTTTTACAAAAGTTACACCACTTTTGTTATTTAACCACTGAAGATGGTCTACATTAGACCGAACGTGTCAGATGGAGTAAATGCCTATTATGGAAAAGACAATTTATTACCCATCACCTAAAAGTTCATTTTGTAGAAACGAACAAACTTTTTATCTTTAACGTGTGTGATTGTAATCCAATTATTAAGTTAGATATTCGGCCTCATTTTATAGAGAACGGTTTTTTTTCATGTTAAAAATTGGTTCAATGACTGGCAGAAAAATATAACATGGAGAACACATAATACTCAACGATACATTTAATATTTGCACAAGCGTACAAAAGCGGGTTATTAGTTGTTGTACGGTTAGTTTTTGTTACATTAGTTTCAATGATGTTTTTTTTTGTTAATTTGCGTTTTGTGTTATGTAGTGTTTTTAGTGGGGCGAAGGCGGAAAACTTATAAACGCGCAAACTCACTGACAGGCGGTTCCTCACTGAAGATGGCGTAATACCGAAACACGTTTGAATATTCAACAAACCGGCATGTATAGTCGGACCAAATTACTACCGAGTGCCGGTTCATCCGGTGAGTTCATCGACTCGCATACCAACACCCATTAACTTAATTTTGAATTTGAATTCAGCAAAATCTATATTTTTCGAACATTGTTCTGATAAAACAGGACTGAAGAATTTTACGTTAGAAAAGATAATAGGTTACGTAATAGCCAATGCTGAATCGTCCAAGAAGCTCTTGTGCGTCAAAAGCACGGTCGATAGTTCCCAGAGAGTCTAAACCGCAGAAGAAAGAACATCGTAATCCGACTCGGAATCGGCCATACGCGATTGACACATAGACACTTGCTTTTAATCAAATGTCCGCGAATACGTTCCACTTATTTGGGGGTTGTGTTTTACTAAATTATTTGGCTCCAAACAGAGAGCGAGTATGAAGAATTTATGAGTCCCCTGTTCCGATTTTTGGAGGAAACTGTATTTTTTGTATTGTAGTCAATTTTCTTATTGTATATGTATAACAAGTTTGGCGATAAAGATAGCTTGTGTATAAGTATTTAAAGCTAGTTATTCAAAAACTGGGCGCCCATAGTTATGTAAGTTTGAGGCTTAAAGTTCGTGAATTCGAAGGGTACGCGAAACGTTGAAGTGTAGTAGATGGCCGAGGGAGGAAGTTGAATTAAGATTCATCTTCTTGGCTAGAGTCATCTGTTAACTGTTTCGTGATAATGTATTTATAAGCGTGAATGTGAGTGTGACAGTGTACTCAAGAGCGTGAATGACGTACCACATAGACCCTCCCATATGTAAATTGAATGCTATTTAAATAAGAAAGAATGTATTTAAGAATGTGGAAAAGACCTTGTCGAAAGTAAGCAGATGACGAAATGGAAGACATAAAGTTCTAATGTAAACCTTTTGTTTACAATAATTGATGCTCGATCACTCTGTCTTTTGGCTTGAGTCTGTTTTCTCGTCCTTCTGTTATTTTTATTTCAAGGTTTCAATTTACGCATGCTCTATGTTTTTGTTACCAATTGTTCCAGGCCAGTTCTAGCATTGATCTTTTGTCCATGTTTAATTGGTGGAATGGTTTCGCTTGACGTAATGGACAGTTAATAAATTCAGAACCGTAATTAAAACAATTGCGTTTTTATGGAGGTATTGTTCTAACGAATTCTAATTAAATCGTAACCAACGTTGAGCCTTTACTAGTTAAGAAGGAACTATTCAAATTGTCTTTTCTTCGGGAAATTATATAGATTCTGAGAGATCACTTAAAGCTAAACAGACAAAAAACCTATGTTACATGATTATAATATGTATGTAATGTTTTTTGTTTTTTAAATTATAAATATTTGGATTTCTCCTTATGGGAAAATCTATCTTGAGTTGTTTAACCATGTTTGAGCACTTCGATAACTCACGAGAGAGATATTTTTTTAAATACATTTAATATCAAGTATCTATATAAACTGTGGGCAGTTATTTTTTTAAATTAGTCTTTAGGAGCAGAATAGTTTGTGTAAACTAAAAATTGCATGTGTTTCGTTTAAGAATTTCTAAATCCACCTGTTTACAAGGTGGTATGGCCAAATTTCTATAGGTTTAAAACTCGCTCCGAGCAGGGGGGCAGAATCGAAGGGCAATCGATCATCGATGAAGTGCTCTTGAATATTAACTTATGCCGGTTACATGTGCAATGAATAAATACCGATGCTTTGATAGCGAAAAAGTATGATTGTATGATTATGCCAAAGCTTAAAATGAATATTGTTCGATGTCTTGAATTATATACCAAATCCGAACCCAGCCACCGGTTGGCCATGCGCAGTGTTCATCTGTTTTATCTGGGCCTCAGTCCGTTTGACGTCTTCTTTCTGTTTACTCTCTCCCTTTCTATTTTATTTTCGGGAATTTAAAAGAAGTATGTTCCATCCTACTTAGCGACCTTAATTGGTTTATAATCGTTAGTGCTTTATTAAGTTTTATCCTCTGTGCAAAATTGTCAATGTCTTATCTTATGTTAACGATGTCGTTAATTTAGTTTATACTGGTGTTTTTCTGTATTGTAGAACTTACGAAGGAGTACATAAAGTTGATTCTCTTGTCATAACGTCATGGACTTTTGTTCTCTCTAATCTTATCTTGTTTAGTTTGATAAAAATTGATCTTGACTGGCCACCCTTTTAATTTGCCGCATTGCTGTGTTCGAACGCGTACCTTTTTTCAAGTTTGTTGAAAATAATTCTCAGAGTGTAAGTTTAAAACCGGTCGGCTTTTTTTCCATATTCATCTGTTGATAACACGTGCCTACCGTTTTTCCGTTTTCGCGATGCCCTGGTTCGAACGGCTTTTAAAAGGCCAAGTAAGATGTCGCGATACCTCGTATGAACTGACGCACATTTGACATACATGACATTGCGTTTTTTTTTGTTTTAAACTAGCATTGTAAATTTAATTTTAATTTTATCCTTATCTGAGAGTATAAACTGAAACGAGATAATCTGTTGGCCAAAGATCCGGTTTGTTTATTATCTGATTGACCATTTTCATCTGCCTCCCTCCCAAATAAACATTCCAGCCTATCTATTTATCTCTGTATAACTATAATGATTATTTCAACCGAAATATGAAGCTTCAGTTGTTTGTGTTTGAAACTGGTGAAAAATGGAGGCGAGCTTTTTTGAGGTAAGTTTTTTTCTAAGTCCTATTTTAAGAAAAATGATTAGAGAAGCCTTTCATGTCCTTGCATTCAACGGTTTGATATTTGTCGTTTTAAATATATATAAAACACAATTTATTATATTACACTTAAATATTGGTTTTCGTGAAACGTTATAAGAACACGACTATTATTGAGATTTAGGACATGAAATAGGGCGTAGGCAGAGTCTGGGGTTCGGTTCACATTTCGGTTAAAGATTTTGATCTCAACCACTACACAATATTTCCCTACAAACAAGTTAAATATTGTAAATTTTATTGGGTGGTAATTATTGGGTTGTCCGGAAAATAATGCAGGATTTTACGTTTTCATTAAAAAAAATCTATATAAAATATTCTGTTTACGTTTACAGGATTACTCATTTGTATGAATGTCAACACTTATTAATCCTCTTCCAAATGATATTGTTTGTTTACCTCTGTAGCATTCCGCTACTTGGAAAT